GTGGGTGGGGGGTTTTGAGTTGGGGGGGGTGGGCAAAGGGGTGTTGTGTGAGGGTGTGGTAGGGTCATGGGGCAAGAGCGTGTTGGCATGGGCTGTAGGGGTCAGAGGTTAAAGGGCCAAAGGGCATGGGGTGGGAGTCAAGGGGTGTTAGGCACTGGGGAGCAAGGGTCTGGTTTGGCTGATGGTCAGGTAATGTATTTGCATATTCATTATTTGCATAATGAATATGTGAATATGCAAATGTGGCCAGTCCACCAAAAGTTTGTGAATGCACTTGCCAGTCTTTGGTATCAAAAAGGTTGGGCACCACTGTTATAGGGTGCACCTTATACCTCCCCAGCAGGCACAGCTGGGGGCATGGCCTGGCAGAGTGCCATGGCCTGGCAGGCAGGGGTTCGCAGCCCACCACCAATCCGTGGACCTGTGGGTGGGAACCACTGCTTTACAGGCTCTGATTAACCTAACCCTGCAAATTCACAACCCCCTATAGTTTGTGTCACATTTTTGCACATGTAGCATGAAACTTTCAGTAACAGAAGGTTTCCCTGGAATACCTGGGAGAGGGCAGAACCTAAGCAGTAGGCCTTGCAGGAAAGACGTAAGGACAATTTGGGGACAGAGCACATGACTGCTTCAGTTCCTAGGGCCTGAGGGCTGCCCTTCAGGAAAAGATACAGCACGAGCCTCTCGTGGTGGCCGTGCTGTTGTACCCTGGATGAGGGAGAGAAAAGACATACACACACTGGAGATCCAGGGGCTCTGAGAGAGGCTGGACAAAGCACCTGGAATGAAATTTTTCATGGGTGGTCACTAAGGCCGTGTCCAGACTCAGGGGTTTTTTCGGGAAAAGTAGCCTTTTCCCGAAAAAACTTCCCCTGCGTCCAGACTCAAGCCGCGTTCTTTCGAAATTATTTCGAAAGAACGCGGCTTTTCTTTCGATGGCGGTAAACCTCGTTTCACGAGGAAGAACGCCATCTTTCGAAAGTTCCTCTTTCGAAAGAAGGCGT